CTCACTGTGTATCTGCTGATCAGTCAACATCACACTCCCAGGGTAGCAGAAGCGGGAGGTGGTTTCCAATACTTCAGCACCAATGCTGATTTGCGACAATATTGAAGATTGCACTTCCAGTGAAGGCTGAAAGAGACAAAGAGTTGTGCTTATGTTGATAGTGAGCCAGAATTTGGCCGCTGTCGAAGCCGGAACACTAGTCATGTGCTGCAACTCATCCGCGCTGTGTGAAAACAACGCACAGTCGTCAACAAACAGCAACATACCAATAGTTGTCTCAGACTAGAGTTCTCACACCAAAACGACGGATTTTCAGCAACCCACCATCAATACGGTGCTCCACACGAACACCGTAAGCAAAAGCGGCATCAAAAGCACAGGATAACATTGCATGAAGATATATATTAAACAGGGCAGGAGCTAAGACACAGCCTTGCTTCACACCAGTGACAACTGCAAAGTCATCCGAGGTCTCTCCACTCAGCTGCACCCGCGCTCGCATACCACTGTGCAGACATTCAATTAAACTTACAAAACTTACGCGGGCAACCAAACTTACCCAACACCAGCCACAGTGCGTCGCGGTTCACCGTATCAAATGCCTTGGTGAAATCAACAAAAAGCGAGTACAATGGCTGGTGTCGTTCTCTGCACTTCTCTTGCAACTGACGAGCCGCAAACACCATATCTATAGTGCTGCGACCCGAACGGAATCCACATTGCTCTTCCGCCACGTTAGGTTCCACAACCTGACTTACGAGGCGGTTGAGCAGGATTCGGGCAATCACCTTGCTCACACAACTCAGCAAGTTGATGCCACCATAATTCGTGCAACATTGCTTGCCCCATTTGCCCTTGTACAGTGGTAACACAAAGGCATCCTTCAGCTCAGGAAGCACCTCCTCCTCAATCCATACACGTTGCACCAAGTGGTGCAGCGCAGTCAACAACGCGGGTCCACCGTGTTTCAATACTTCAGGTGGGATCCCGTCACCTCCGGCACACTTGCCGTTTCGCAGCTGAGCAAGTGCTCTCTGCGTCTCAACCAGTCTCGGCGTATCCGCCAGATCCGCCTTCACATCGTGCTGCTTCAGGTCGTTCAATGTAGGCCAATCGATCTCTGAACGGTTGTTCAAGAGACAGTCAAAGTGTTTCCGCCAGATCTGCATTATGTCTGCAGTCTGTGTGCAGGTAGCGCCTGAGCCACCATCGATCAGCGTCCTCAGCGGCTCCAATCTCGGTCCATACATCGTCTTCAAAAAGTCAAAGAATTCTTGGTGTTAGGGGCGTTCGGCGTAGCATTCCATCTGCTTCGCCTTCACCGTCCACCATGCATTCTTAGTGTGACAGAGCTCTCGGGTCAGTGGACGTCGAAGTTTGCGAAACTGACTATTCTTCCCCAAGTCACTGGGGTCTGCCACATGTGCAGCAAATGCTGCATTCTTCTCACACACCAATGTGCCAATCGTCGCATTGTTGTCATCAAACCAATCAGGCCGCCTACAGTTTCTGCGCCCAATGGTCTTCTCGGCAGCAGCTGTCACCTGATCGCGAATGTGGTGCCCCAAGTCGCCCACTGTGGCTGTGCCTTCCACATCACACAGGCGTGCAGCCATCGTCTTCTCCAGCTCAGTACGTTTCGCCACAGTACCGAGGGAGAGGATGTTAAATTTACGCCGATTTACGGCGGGAGTGCAATACAAAGATTTACGAAAATATATGTACAGTGTGGTCCTCACCACTTTGTGGTCGGTGCCGCACTCAGCTCCGCGCAGTACACGTGTCATGCGCCCTTCACGCATATCATGTTGACGTACGATGACACAGTCGAGCAGGTGAGCGTGACCACTCCGTGAGTGCGTCCAAGTTGCTATATTACTCGCACTCAGTGCAAACCGAGTGTTCGTGATCGTCAAGCCGTGAGTGGCACAAAAGGAGAGCAGTCTGTTACCGTTCGCATTCGCTGAACCAATGCGATGCGCACCGATAACATCTGTCCACACCGATGCATCATGCCCAACGCGCGCGTTGAAATCACCCAGCAGAAATAGTCGGTCGCCCCTCAGCACAGACCGTATCACGGAGGATATATATATATATGTATATATATATATATGTATGTATATATATATATATGTATATATATATATATATATAATTTCTACTGCATTATCTCCTGGCACAACTCCATGATCTCAGCCGCGCAAACGCGTTCCAGTACCTTGTCTTGTAATGTTACTGTATCCCTTTACATCAAGAGTGAAACCGAAAAGATGGAAAAGGTGCTCCGATAAACCTACTGATCCTATGCCCCACGTGTCTGCTCATTTCTGCTTCATTCCAAACGAGCTGAGACGAAGAAGAATAAAATTGGCTTCTAACGCGCACATGGATAGCACCACAGTTAGCCCATGCTCCTTTAGTACAAGAACGCTGTGACTGCGACGGAATTATTTGAAAGTCGTGACGTGGTGCTAAAAGTACTACCGTCCATGCACTGCGCGTCGTGATATACTGAAGTCCGGCGGAGCCAAACCTAGTTGTCCCGTAATGGAATACAAATAACAATGCATGAATTGGATAGGTACTCCAGACCGGTAATCCACACAAGTCTGGAAGTCACAAGCGGCTCACAAAATGCTAGCCACAAGGCTTCGTCAATCGCATCACTCGACAAGGAAACACATCACTTTACTACAAAAACTGCCGTATTGCTAAATGCCATATCATAGTCGAAGCTAGCATGGGAGAGGCAATAAATAGTGGTGGTGCACGAAGTTCGCTCGGGTAATTCAGGTAAGCGAGTTATAGACAACTATTACAGGCAACCAAACAAGCAGCCATTTTTGCACGCAGTGACATACATTGGTGCCCACGTGCAAGCTATGCCGATACATGTCATCGGAAAGCAGCGACATCCTGAACCCTTGTTGGACGATGAAATTGGCTCCACAACGCATGCTAACAATGCATTTACAGTGATTGCAACAGCACAATACGCAAGCAGCGCCTATGGTGAAGCGCAAGGGTTTTGCATGTCCAGGGTGGATTTAAACAGCAACTTCTTAACTTGGTGCCAAACCACTTGCTCAGCAGCGTACGACCTATGTTATCGATTGACGGAGGCGATATCTGAATCTCCTGTCATTTTACTCGCTATGAACACTTTTCTTAGGGACGCTGGGCACCCGTTCGTTCCCGGTTTTCGCGTTCCGTTAGTGCTTCGCTAGGAACTTCTCCGGACGTCCACTTTCGCGTACTGTAGAGGAGACGCGTTGCAGCTCACATGCAATCGCTTCCTCAGAGCATAGTTGGCGAGCTATCGCAAAGATGGTACGAACCGGAGATCGTTTGTAATTCACAAGGCACTAAATGTTATTAAACAGGGCAGTGTACCATTTAGGTTTATTTTAAGCGAACATAGAAAATTGAAACGCGTTGTAAGATTCGTTCGCAATTGTAAATCCGATTGATGGGTAACAGTTGCTTAGATCCAATATTAGCTGTTCTGCTTGCTCGGCAGTGTGTGTACAACGATAAAAGTGTCAATCATGTAGTGGCTATATGAAAGCATGTGGTGTATATTACACCCTGATGATCTCTGTATACAATCTATGCAACCCGCTAAGTATGTGTAAACGGCTGAGAAAAATACACGGAATAGCTAAATTCAGATTATCCTGTCGAAATGTTGTTCTTTCTTGCTCTTTTGACACTGGCAGTTGTTCGTTGTGTAGTTCAGCTTACGTTGCTCGAAATAATAGCAGTCTTAGTCAAGACTGGCAATCAATCCATCCGCTTTAAACGAACCGACGAGATAGGCAGCAGGATAGATAGTCACTGAATGCCAAACAGGATGCACTTTTTAGTGTCGAAGGTGCGCAAAGGGAAACATGCGTGATCTTCGAAGGATTTAGCAGAGAGAAAAAAATGCATGAGAGGCAGCGCGCCAACAAATCCAAAAACAGAACCTAATAACGGAAACTTAGTTGATGTAGTATTAAAAGGGGAAAATGAACATTCGATAATATGTAAACTAAGTGAGGATACCAGGATTGATCTATCTAAGAATCGTGTACCATACATCTTGTTTTGTGAAGGAACTCTTAATTGTCTCTAAACTATAAATTTTTTGCACATAGATGTGTTTGAAGGTACGAGTGTACAATCACGTGTGACATTGAATGTGCAGTCTCCGAAATTGTAACAGAATAACTGTCCTGGATCTGTGTTTGTCAGTTCCGTTGAAGGTTGAATTCATTGTGCCCGGTTCATAACTACTTCGGTCTGCCTCCGCCTGGTACACTAAGATTCTTAACTTAGCCCGGATCGCACAGTAGGACAACTGTGGGTGACACCTGTTGTGGACGAAATCTATTTCACTGCACTCAGGAGAAAACATGAGCAGGCAGCCACAGACGAGAATGACAAACGGAACGGTCTAAATGTTGAAGGCTGCAATCGTGTAAAGCAGGCTTGATTGCCTTCCCCAAGTAGGCCAGCATGGTACACAACTTGTCCACCAACGCACGTGATGTAGCATAGTAGGGCTGTTGCAGTTCCGGGGATTTGAGAACCAGACGCTTAAGGTTATCGCGCAGCTGCAGCGAGTACGTGAAAAGGTTTCTGACATGCAGGACAGATGCGTACCGTGTCTGAGCTGCGGCACGTGACTGGATCGTTAGCAGTGAATCCCTGCGACATGTGACCCCCTGAGTGCTGGGATAGTCCGAATGCTAATGAGTTCGTGTTCGTCCCCAATACATGAAAGTGACTCAGGAGACTTTGCCATGCAACTACTGTGTATGTGAATTCAGTGTCTATTAGACGTCTAGTTTCTGTATTCTGATTGCATTTGAATTCCTCAATAACTGATCTTGCCTACAGTTCATTGTCTTCAACCACTTAAGGATGCTCGTTACCTATGCGCAGTTAGTGCAATACACTAAGAATAACTAATATACGACGCGAACAACAATACAAATTAAAGCACAAGAGACCTTCTAATCCGTTTGGAAATGTTCAAAAATCCCTCCTGTTCCATCATTATGTCCGCTTCGTCGAGGACGAATACGATGAGTTTGGAGATATCCAATCGGATGGAACCGTTTCCTCGTACCCACCGAGCAACGGTCCCAGGCGTACCAACTACGATTTGATCTGTCACAAAACCGTCGAGATCCGTGGAGACTGAAAAAAACATTGAAACAACACAATCCTTGTTAACGCAGCTCTTGCGAAGACAAATAGTACGCCCGGGCACAGTGTAGCGAAAACTCATGATGAGTAACAAGGCAGAGAAGAAAAACAGAAGAGGTGGAAAAATAGGGTTCGATGTATGAAAAAGATGTCATGCTTATCAGAATGCGTTGATTCTCATTTCAAGGTAAAAATAGGAAGCAGTTCAGCTCAGTTCTGCAAAATGATCATGATGCAGAACCGAAATGCGGGGGACCCAGTTGCAATAACTCACGTCATTAGGATGAGGGTTAATAGCACCACCAGTGGTAAGTGTACTAGTCAGTTGTTATAGCCGCTGTTGATGATATCGCGCCATGAGGGAGTTGATGGAGCTCATTTATTTTAGTTGAATTAAATCAACTCAGCCTGACATCATCTGCTGTAAGTTGACGGTGGTGATTCTCCGCGATGCATTTATTGTCCATCAGTGCACTTCGGTTAAACAACTGTGAGCAGAGTATCGGTGTAGCGAATGTAGTTGCCGTGACTCGCGCAACCAAAATAACAACTTTTTCATATTTGTCCCAGTAGCTCATAAGCCACATAGCCCAGCCACAATCCGGGAAAACACCAGACGCGTTTCGCCCTACTAGGGCTCGTCAGTAATGCGCATTCCCTCAGCCTCCTACTGGGGATCGAACCCGTGATCGTTGGAGGCTGACGGTAACTAGCCAGCAGCTTAAGCCACTGAGCCAAGAAGGACGGCAGCTGGGCTACATAGTTTTCAGGTTGACTGGAATATAGCACGACCCATATTCTGCTGGGACGAATGCATTAAAACATTTCAACTAAAACCTCCTACTCAAAGTAATAGAAAATAATAACGGTGAGAAAATGACTTGAATGTTATAAAAGGATAAAAATGGAATCAAGAGAGAAGCGCGTTAAACTAAACGGAATGGAATGAAAATTAACAGTCAGAGGTAAGGAACCGAATGTTGGAACGCCACTGTCTGCGTGACTGCAACCGCTGGTGTGACCACGCGTGGGACCCTATTCATATGCAAAGATGAGTCAGTAGTAAATCAGCGCTATGCTACCAAAGCTTCTCAAGTATGCAGTCGCAAACGATTGCATGCTAACAGGCTGTACTGAAACGCATGAAGCAGCAACACTTCGAAATGGGTTGTAGAAAACTGAATACTGCGCGGAAACAGCAAGAACAGATATTTGCGTATAGTTCACTTAAAATATCCCAAGCACAATGGATAGGGCGACCCTCGCAATGCCCTTAACACACATGCAACTGGTGGTGATTGAACGATAACGGAAAGTCGGTACTACGTACCGGTGTACTGCTGATGCAAGCAGAAAGACCTATTATACTGGAGGGCATTTCCGAGATTTAGTGTCGGCAAAGTGCATGTCTAGAAATTGCTTGAATTCCGATGCGAACTTTCCTTCGACGACGTTCCGCGGCAAGTTGTTCCATATATTCACTAATCCATTCGGAGCAGAGTCTGTGGGTGGCCTGCTTCAAATCCAGCGCTACAAGTTTGTACCGGTGTCTTCGTATGCTGTATGGTGTACGCATATAAAGCAGCGGCCACACCATGGGGTAATCACCAAGATGCCCAGCGCAACATGATGAGGTCAACTCACAAACGACAATCAGACAGGATGTAAAGCAGTAACCTCTTGCACTGGCCTTTTCAGGGCATCGTTTGCAAAGTGGGGATGAGCATGGTGGCCACATGCCGAACCCGGATGCATCCTTTGTACCTCACCCCGGGTCATAGCACAGTACGCGAGTGAGCCGTACACCCTAGTAATGGTCGAATGATTGAAACGAAGAGGCAAGCTGCAATCTCTTCCAATCAAATGCAGAAGCTGCGCTTGACCGCCCAAGCTATATAAGGTCCATTTGGGTAAAGCCCCATGCATGTTGAAAGGTGAATGTCTGAACCATCACATTAACAAATGACAAGTGATTACATAAGTAGAAATTCGTCACATCAAGACTAACTTAGACAGCTATCACACGCTCAGAAAAGCGCTGTGTGCGCGTTTCATCCTTTCAGGAATCGTCAGCAGTGCGCATTCCATTGGACTCTGAGAGGACTCGGACGTGCAACTCGACTGTTGCCAGTCCGTGGTTGAGACCACTGAGCTACAGGGAATGGCAACAAGCAAATCCCGCCGCTTATTATCCACTGACTTGCACGTTACTGCTGTGCAAGAGACAGGATAGCCACCTCAGCGAGCGACGAACTTACCAAACTTAAACCGCCAAGTACCTTATGCTTTTCTGGGTGCGTGATGGCTGTCTGAGTGAGTCTAGATGTGACGAATTTCTAATTACACCAGCCAACTCTCCCTACTACTCCTCTGTTAATAACTATATACTTCCCAAAGGGCGATAAAATGCTAGGACAGCCGGGCAAGAGTTGAAGGACAAGAGAGAATTGTTGATCAAGAGTAATGCATTATTCCAAAAAATATTAACGTACACGGTAGAAAAGAAACGGAAAGAAGAGAGGAAAAACATAGCCAAGGGGAAGAGAGTGGATAGAAAGAGTAGATCAACCCACCTTGCTCATCACGGGCAGCTAATCCAAACGAAATCCCTTCGATGAATTGGGCCATCTCGCGACCAACGGATACAATTTGCAGAGCTAATTCTCGAGTGGGAACCATGCATAGACATTGACAGTAGGACTCCGAAGGATTGGTTCGAGAAAGCATTGCCAGAAGGAAGGTCGCGGTTTTTCCCGTTCCCGATTGGGATTGGGCAATCATATTTTGGGGACTGGAGATGGTGTGTATCAAGGCAACAAGAAGGTGTACAATATGATCACATAATGGGAACTCCGACTGCATACAAAACTTTTGAGAAAACGAAAAGCATGTTTGACAAAATGATACAGAACATGGAGGCAGTCAAGCAAAAGATTCCTTCTTTGAATCTTATCTCAAGCAGAAAATGTCTTGGGGACTAACATATGTGCATGAACGTTCAAAGTGACAAATTTTGGAAGGTGAAAGATATAAATCGGTTTCGTATAGGCGTGCAATGCGTCTACGTTTCCTTCGTAACTCAAGAGCCATTGCGGCTAGCTCTAGTGTCAAGAGCAAAAGGTAGCCATAATACAAGTCTACACGAAACAGGTTTGTATTCTAGAGCTTTCGAAATTATGTAAACCCAGGCGGGCTCCAAGGTTTTTCCGAGATATTGTAAGGTGAAAAATCCTAGCGATAGTACAAATAGCCCGTATTTATACCTAGCGGATCGAAGAAGGAAGTAAACTCAGAGTACATTGTAGCTCCGTTCATACAGAGAAGGATAGACTTCTTCCATCCGATACCCTGATACTGATTGTGTAGGCGATTCCACAGTGACGAAATTCCGAGTCATAGCAGGTAGGGTCATTAATTAACAAACAATATGTTAATAAACATCATGAAGTTTGTCAATAAGGTAAACGAGATGGTATCTTTGTAAGATATAGTCTTGATAAATGTTATTCTCATTGTAGTAGGCAGCGGATTCCTGGAGAAATCAATTTTCATTAGAAAACGCAAGGTGAATGGGCGCGCATTCGCAAGCAATAAATAGCCCGATAATGCTAGTGATGAGCAGAGACGGGTATAAGACTATAAGGCCTCGTGAGCTGAAGTTCAGAGAACGCTACTTATCATCAACACCTCAACTATTGTGCCTCAACAAAAAGACGAAGGTACTAGACATTACAGAATACAAAAGTAAAAAATAATGCTTAACATCAAATTATACACGGAATATGAGATAACGGTTGAAGAGGGAGGCGAAGCGGGAGAGAGAAATGCACAACAAAAACGGCACTGAGGTCGGCCCCTTGCCAAATCAACTAGTGTGTCCAACCAAATGCGAGCTTCAGCCATCGGACCCCAGCCGGCAGACACCAGTGGATGCCAAGTTTAAAGTTAGAGACGTCATTTCTCGTGACCAAGTTATCACTTGGCCTACCTACCTCTTCTTATATCCATACCACCGGCGCACCAACAACGCATGTCGCGGGAGTCAGTGCGAGAGTATGCACAACAGGTAACAGCCATTGGAGCCTAGGTTATTTATCGGTGCTGAGCGATTCCCTCTGTCTGCACCAAATAGACGACCCCAAAAACGCTCATTGCTCACGCGGTGTTCCCGACAGGAGCTACACTAGGTAGGCATCAGCACCTGATCTATGCGGAGGCTCGAACAAGCACGCTAAGATTACACCACGTAGTAGTAGTATTTATTTAGTAGTATGTAGTTGTAGTAGGATTTAGCAGTATTTATTTAGCAGCAGTATTTAGCAGTAGTAGTAGTACTGAGTGGGAGCAGCAGTATTTGGTGGTAGTAGTATATAGTAGTAGCATGTAGTTAGTAGTATTTATTTAATAGTATTTAGTATTTATTATTAAGTAGTATTTATTTAGTAGTAATTATTAAGTAGGATTTAGTAGCATTTATATAGTAGTATTTATTAAGTAGTATTTAGTAGTATTTATTTGGTAGTATTTAGTAGTATTCATTAAGTGGTAGCAGCAGTATTTAGTTAGTAGGTATTGGTAGTATTAATTTAGCAGTAGTAGTAGTAGTGGCAGTATTAATAGTTGTAGCAGCAATATTCTTGGTGGCGGGAACTGCGTTCTACACAAATTCACTTAATCATCAAAGCTACACAGCTACTGATAATATTACAGCTACTAACATCCCCGTGCTACTGGAAATGTCGACTTGACTGGCAACGAAAAGTTCACAATCGAGTGCCACGGCACAGTACCTCTACGAATGATTGTACAATTGTTTGCATAATCTTAATGAGGTAGATTTGTTATCATGTGAACATTCCTGTGAGTTCATTAGCGCGTACTGTGTTACTTAATCCCGAAAGTTCCATGGGAGTCGTTTAGCGTTAGTCTATGACCTATTTCATATCACAATATTATTCAGTCTGGTTAGCCCAGATTCGGGACTCAGAACGCCACCACAAATCCCGTATCACAGCTGGTTTAGTTTGAATAAATAAGTGTGGCTCAATGAACAGCCATCAATCACATCACCAAAACAAAACGTTTAGCAACAGTACAGCAAAATGGGGCGGCCGAATACAAAAATGAGGGGAAAGAATTTAAAAACGGATCAGTGGATTATTCATTGACTCGACAAAAACGGCAGTATGTAAGATATCTAGGATGATGCTTCGCTACCATACAAGCACGGTGAAATATGGATAAGGATAAAGCAGGGAGAGAAGAGGGAACCAGCGTAAAATCCGAATACCCTAAGCAAGCATTAAATTAAGGCACATGTCAATAACATGCCATCACAAACAGCTGGGTATCGTATCGACGAGACAGCCCTCTTACGGCTTTCATTGCTCCTCCGCAGGCAACTCTGAAACAAATACACGTCAAACAAGCAGTCCGACAAAGAGATGATAGCACACACGCCACTGGTGTCGACTCCGAGCCATGTTCCGTAACATTTCGAACCAGACATAAGGCGAGTCACGTGGACTCCAGCATGGAAGGCAAGTCGGACCGACAGAACCCAGTTTGGTCATCAGTGATTTCATTTTCCGATGCTAAGTCAACTGTTGGCCACCTCGAGCATTGCGCCACCATATCCTCGGCGAACAAAACAAGGCCCTGTTCGTTAAGCGGTGACTGAGCATACGTAGCATGTGCTCAAGTCAACACAACTTATTAAGTGATATCTGTTGTTCTAAGGAACTGCAATGATTTTCACTGCCTAGCACTCGCCTACGCACATCATCGTTTTTGACACGCTAGTGCCATACAACACCAGCAATGCTTGGCCAACAACAATGAGCAATGATTTGAAGGTGCCGGAGGTCTTCAGATCGAAGCGGCCAAATCTCACTATCATCGAGTAGGACGCCTCTCACTGTGGCATGTAAACGGGGCATTGCAGATCGAGGGGGAAAAAGCCCCCATCTGACGCCAGAGATATTGTAGATTCAATAAAGCAGTTCTGGCTTTTGCAATGCGTGAAGTGATTTCGTTGCTGATGCAGCAGCGAACCTTCGGTAAATGATAAACAATCTTGCGTTCCTCACCATCAAGTGTCAAGGAATCATGCACTGGCTGGGAATCCTCCACAACACTGCAATTTGAAGGCGAGAAGCGCATGTCAAATGATGCGGCCAATTAACAGAGGACATTCAAGGGTATGTATGTATGTAATCTCAGCAGTCTAGTAACTAGACATAGAGCCAAGAAAGCCATGGAAATCAGTAGATAAGAGACAGTCATTGCGTCGTAATCGTCGTGGCATGCTAGTTGGAGGTGGGCAACACACTTCAGCTAATATGCCGCAAGAAAATGGAATATTTTGACAAAAATACAGAACAAAACATTTTTAGTTTGTTTGTCATACGCCGATTTTTCTCTTTTTTTGTCATTTTCAATGTTGGTAGTATTAAACATGTGAATCAATACAACACTGACTGACCCTCCCCAATATCGCTAGACAGCAAGACAGTAAGATCCGCCTAATCAAGATCAATAAAGCAAGAAGAAACAACATTTTAACAAGATTTACTGAATTCAGCAATTTCGCGTATTCTCTTCAGCTGTTTACATACAATTAGTGTGATACACAGGCTACATAGCAGAAAATCAAAGTTCGATGTTAACAGCAAAAAAATTCAAAGCGGTCGATTGGTGGTCTAAGTGTTCGCTGAACTCCGCAGGTTGACTGCAAACGTTTCATCACCACTCGAGCTGACATCGTCAGTGCCCATGTATTTAGCAGAGTGGCGCGTACGAAGCGGTCGAAGGTCCTTAGGCTCATGTGACCTGTTCCGAGAAAAACGAAATCACTAGCCTCACCAGGGAAGGGTTAGGTGGTCACGAAATCCTTTTGCTTGCACAGATTTGGTTTCAGTCTCCGAACTGCTGACACCTCCGCAAACTGAATTAAGCGGAGAGTAGCTTGTTTGCTAACTACCCTGAAATTGCCACGTGCGTTTTGGCATTCAGGGCAGTCAAGTATGTGGCGGGCAATAGAGCTAGTCGGTAGCTTCGGGCCATTAGCGATCATGTTTCGCGGAACATGCTCTGCAATCCTCGCTGGCAGCCTTCTCTCAGTTGTAATTGCTACATCAAGTACAATTAAAGAGGTAAATGCATGAGGCGGTAAATTGAGGGTCCGGTCCGTCCATGTTGGGTTTACAGAGCAACCTTCTGACTTGATGCAATACCACTAGCACAGCCGCATAGTAACACTTCTTAATTGATTGACGGTGGCGATGCCTACATCTTCTGTCCACTTGATCTACTTTGAATGGCAGCGTAAATGAATACCCCGTTGAGGCAGATTATTATGTCAAGTTTTATAGTGACTTCTACTTTCTACGAAAATTACACTACTCACAATAACCACCAGTAACACCTTTTTCTTCGGGACATCGGTTGCTGATTTTGGATCGTATTTTCGAGTGCTGTGCTATAAATCGGGCGGGATACTCATTCTCTTGTAGTGTCGAGGTGACTCGCTCCAATTCACGTTCAATTGTGTCTAAGGAGCATATTTGACGAGCTCTAGCAAAAATGGTGCGTACTAACGCTCGTTTGTAGTTCATTGGGCAGAAGCTATTAAAGTTCGAGTATTGTCTCGTCCATGGATTTCTCTCCACAGATCGAACGAGTGTACCATCTACCTTTCTCTGTAATTTAACATCTAAGAAATGCAAAGATCTATCGGAGCGGTTTTCCATTGTGAACTTGGTGGCTGGATAGCACATATTCATCAGTTCCACGCCGTCTGTTGAGGCGTGTCAATGACGATGAATGTGTCATCTATATACCGGCAATAAAAGTGTACACTTTGTAGGTAAGAGGCTAACTCAGTGTCTTCCAAGTGGCCCATGAAGATATAGGCCAAAACTGAGCCCAATAAACCGCCCATGGCCACGACGTCGATTTGTCGATACAGGGTTCCATTGAACCGGAAGTGAATAGCTTGTAGATAGGCGCAGTAATGATTTGAGCTGGAGCGCTGGGAACCCGACTGTGTCAGCGTGTCTGGCTATTATATCTAATGTTTCCTCCAAACGCTCGTGAACAATGAAGATACATTGAAAGGAAGCAAGTGCTTTCCTTTTGCGTTTAAATTACGTATCTTGTTGACAAATTCAAACGTGCCTCCTAGGTTGTGGGTCGTCAGTTCCCTCCGGATAGGCTCGATAACTCGCTAGCCATCGCGCTAATGCTTTGGTATGGTGTGTCTACCACTGGGACGATTGGACGTATTGGGATACCCTACTTATGAGTTTTCGGTAAGCCATACATGTGGGGAAGTCGTGCTCCCCGGGGGCGTAACTGGGTCCTGGTTTTGACATTCATCAAATCGGCCTTCACTAGCTTTTTCAATTCACGGACTATTAACTTCGCCATCTGCTCGATTTGTTAAATCAGGAATAAAGCGATTAGAATCCGCAAGAACTGATTGAACTTTCTGAATGTAGTATTGCTTTCCCAAACTCACAACGCCTGATCCCTTGTCGGGTTGCAGTATTACGAGATTTGCATTTCGCAGCAGTTGTATCAAAGATTCCTAATGATCCATCGTAAGGATTCTGTGCTCTTCCGTTTCATCGACATGGAATTGGTTAGCCCTTCCCTGGTGAGGTTAGTGATTGCGTTGTCATCGAAACGGGTCACGTGAGTTTAAGGGCCCTCGACCGCCTTGAATTTTTTGCCGTTAACATCGAACTTTGATTGTCTGCTATGTAGCCTGTGTAGTCCACTAATTGTAGGTAAACAGCTGAAGAGAATACGCGAAATTGTTGAATTCAGCAAATCCTGTTAAAATGTTGTTTCTTGTTGCTTTATTGAAATACGTGAAGGGAAATGCATGCATGATATAGTCAAGATCAACCAACTTTCCAAAGAGATTGTGCAAGGGAACACCCATAATGGAGTTCATCAAGAAGTTGAACAAAAATAGAAAAATAAAACAACCCTGAAGAACGCCACTTGTTCTCGGAAAGATAGACAACAGGTTACCGTAGACCCAGACGCGGCCTGTCGTCTTGGAGCACATGGCACGCAAACTGTTCACATATTTCGTGGTAACACCTTTGCGTACAAGTATTTCGAGCAGAATGGATCCATCAACTGAATCGAACGCATACTTGAAGGTAAACACAGCTATTGTTGGTCTGCAATTGTAGCGATGCGCTAGCCCCTGCCGCAGCGGTCAATACAGCTCCGTCCAGGGCGGAATCCTGCCTGCTCTTCCGTAATCCGCATTCCCGATTCGCAACGACGCGATGAACAAGCGTTGAGGTCAGCAATGTTGTCAACACCACTCCTGTGGTTAGCACATTCGGTGCGGCTGTCCATTTCGTATAACGCCGCTTTACATGATTCACTATAGCTAGCAGGGATAGCCTCTGCCTTCCGGACCTGTTCGAACAGGGAGGTCAGTGCTTTCTAGAGTACCTCACTTCCGTCTTTTAATAGTGCAGGTGGAAGGGAATCCTGGCCAGCAGCACTGAAACGATGGAGGGTTGTGGTCGCCTTTCGGACCTCAGCCTCCGACGGAGCCTCACAACTAACCGTCCATAACTCATTGTGTATCACCTGAGTAGGAAGTGGTCCGGAAGCAGAGGGCCAACTGAATTGATCTTGAAAGTGTTCGGCCCACAGCTATACGGCGCAGAAGGAATTATATTTGCTACCAGGAATGGATAATATGATGAAAGCGCTCATTGGATCCCGCCGGTTCACAACGTTGGAGCTGGAGTCCGGATATTCGCAGGTTTAGTTCCATCAGAACGACAGGTGCAAGTCGGCACTCTGCGTTCCATCCGGACTTTATAAATTCCAGACGATGCTCTTCGGCTTGACAACTGCTCCCCCTCACTTTTCAGCGGTTGATGCATCCAATATTAACAGACTTGATACCAAACCACAGTTTAGTGTGCCTTGATAATATCATAACGCACGGAAAAACGGTGGAGGATCACAATCAAAGTCTCACTGTCGCTCTAGACCGACTAGTACAGATGGGGTTGAAAGTGAAACACAACAAATGCCATTGCTTAAGAAGCAGGGACCTACTTGAGCAATGTCGTGTCTGAGGACGGGGTACGCTGCGACATCGCGAAGGTCGACCAGGTACGCTCGTGGCTGGTACCCGCAAATGTGGAGGTTACGCAGTATTGTTGGCCTCGTTTCTTAATATCGACGTATGCACAGGGATTTTGCGACGATCGCTGCTACCCTGGCAGACCTCCTGAAAGCCAGAAGAACTTTAGCTACGTTGCTCATTCATTCACCGAGCTGAGAAACTTGTTTGTAAACGTTTCACCGTCGTGTGAGGCGGCATCATCAGTGTGTTGAGATGTAGAGTGTAATCTCCTTGATTGAATTGTCGATCCGTGATCGGTGCGCAGGTGACTTTTAGAAGATGACGGCTTCCATCTGTGTCCCGTGATCTCTACCCATTTCCCTGTGGCAGAAGTCGTCGCTCGGGTTGTTCCTGTTCAACCGAGGTCTCGTAATTTCTCTACGTTCTCTCCATCAGAGGGGCTGGTAAACTGGGTCAATGTCGATGGAGAAAAGAAATGTGGAGACGCCTCGAACACCTGATTTGTGTATCGTAATATTTCATATATAATGCTAAGCAATTGCTACAAAAGCTCAAAGACCTACGAATAGATGATGAAACAATGATATCTTTCGACGTGACTGCTATCTTTACGTCTGTCAACTTACAAATGGCAACAACAGTCATCACAGAACGCCTGAACAGCAGTGAACAACCAATCGAGAATATAACGACCGAAAACATATGCAAGCCACTCCAGTTGTGTCTGTCAACCTACTTCTCTTTCAACGGGAAGATCTACGAACAACTGAAAGGCGCGCCAATGGGATAACCTATATCGGGGACTAATTGGGGAGATGGTAATACAGAAATTGGAGGGAGATGTACTCCCACTCATTAATCCGAAACTGTGGGTCCGATATGTTGACGACACAGTCAAGTTACAGTCGCACAGCAGCTATTGAACAACGCCACTGAAGACATCCGGTTTACGATGGAAATGGAGAATGAAAACCAACTGTCTTTCCTAGATGTATTAGTAACCAGAACCATGGAAGGAAGGCTGCAAACATCAGTTTACAGAAAATGGACACATACGGACCAAATTTGAACTTTAACAGTAATCACCCGAAATGCCACAAAGTAAGCTGTGTGCGGACACTAGTTGGCAGAGTACAAACGCAGAGGCAAAGCAACAAAAAGAGAAGCATGTATTTAAATGCTTCCAACTCAACAGATACCCGCGAAGATTCATCCGAAGGTGACTGAACCACAACAAATCAAACAGACAGTCTACACCAACGACGGAGAGACGCGTTGTTTTGCCTTATATGAAAAGCATATCCGAAATGGCAGCAAGACTATTTAAACAACATCAACTCATGTTAGCATACAAACCGACTGCCACATTGAGGAAAACTCTGTGAGAATCGAAAGAGAAACTGGAAGCTCATGAGCAACGTAATGTTGTATATAGACTGCAGTAGAAATTGCGAAAAGGACCATGTTGGCCAAACAGATAGAGAATTAGCAACACGACTACAAGCGCACAAAAGAGCATGCAAAAGGCATTATGCATCATCGCTAGTCTCAGCACACGTGGACGAATCAGAACACAGCTTTGATTGGGTCAAAACAGAATTCCTGGCACGAGGTGAAACAAGAAGAGAAGTTCCTGGAAGCGTGGTTCTTAACAAACCACTTAATCAACAAGCATATCAACATTGACCCAGTTTGCCAGCCCCTCCGATGGAGATACCTTGGAGAAATTACGAGACGTCGCTTGAATAGGAACAACCCGAACGACGACTTCCGCCACAGGGAAATGGGTAGAGATCACGGGACAAAGATCTAAGCCGTCATTTTCGAAAAGTCACCCACACGCCGATCACGGATCGACAATTCAATCAAGGAGATCACACTCCACATCTCAACGCACTGATGATGATGCCACGCATGACTGTGAAACGTTTGCAAACAAATTTCCCAGCTCGGCGAACGAATGAGCAACTGAATTATCAACCCGAGCCACCAGTTTTCCGAAACATTTTAAACTTTGGCTTAAAAGAAAACAAGCAAACAGCTTTCCAGAGCCTTAGATCCGCGTTGTGCGAGGCACCAGTGTTAAGATTTCCGGATATGCATCCATCTGCTAGCCCATTCATCCTGGATACTGATGCCAGCGGCACGGGTAAGGGAGTTGTAGTGTCCTAACACACAGCGGACGACAATGAGCCGGTAATTGAACACGCCAGCGAAGCTTATCGTAATGAGAACGCAAGCATTGCAAGACGCGAAAATAAATGCTTGCATTTGTCTTCGTTTTCAAACGATTTAGACACTCTCTTCGACCGAAAATTCATTGTACGCACTATCAATCATTGATTTGGCACCAAAACTTTCGAGATGCTGAAGATCAAATTGCCCGTTGGCAGGAGCGACTGCAAGTGCATAAATTTGAATGCTAACATCGCCCGGGTCGAAACATGCTAATGTTGATGCTCTGTCTCGCAGACCCATCCGAGACCATGAACCATGTCCCAGTTGCACAGCCACTTTTGTAGCTGCTCTTACCTCGATACCTCCGAAGCCGAAGAATGGAATCAGTTGCAGTCTACCGACACAGATTTAAGCCCGTTGTACCACCAACTCGCGCGTGGAGAAGATCGACCAACTAGCCACGAAGTCGCTGGCGCTAGTGTGGAGACGAAATGCCTGTGGTCCCTATGGCAACATCTGCGCATGTTCGACGGTATAATGCACTTCCAGAATAGGCGAACCTACGCAGTCATTGTTCCCAGAACGGCAACTCAAGAAGTTACGCGCCGGTTGCATGAGGAGTTGGGGCACGAAGGGCAGAACGAGTTGGAACAAGCACTTCACCGTCAATTCTGGTGGCCCCATTTACGAGGCGAAGTACTGTAAGTCATGCCCAAACAGCACCCGAAGCAAAAAGCGGCCAACGGTCCGCCGCGAACCACTACAGTTGATGTTAACTGGTTTTCCCAATCAGCACGTCGAAATCAACATCATCGGTTCGTTACCGGACACTCCTTGAGGACATCGTTTCGCCTTAACCATGATCGACTAGTTTACAAATTGTTATGAGGCGGCTCCACTCTAGAACATGGACGCATGCAGCGTAGCGATGGCCTGTGGTGATAGGTCAAGCACTATGCGAAGGAAACGGAGGTGTCACAGTGGGCTGTTCTGAGCAGTTAAACCGAAAAGCAAAGTGCAATGCCAAGTGGCCCAAGCGTTTGTGTAGGCTGGTGATTTTCATGCCGCTTGACTCACAAATCCTCTGACTGACAGCGTGTGAATCGCAACCAGTAGGCTTGATGAGGTAAAACAAAGTGCGGAAATTTCCAGCCAATCCAGTGGCCCCCATTTCAGCAGCTCGTTTGACCACCAGTATTCGCCGTTTAACGAATGTTTGATTTCAGCTGTTAAAACATATACCCGCGGAGTTTGTTGTGCTCCGCACCGATGGGTACAGTCCGTCAACGATTTAGCAGTTAAGAGGATCTGACCGAAATCTAGCTTTTGGGTGTGCAACAGGTGAGTTCGTAGCTGGACAAGCCGGCGGACAGCATGACTTGTTGCAAATTTGACCAGCGTTGATCAACATTCAGAGTAGTGGGGGAGCGAGATTTTCACAGAGTTTCTAGATGCTGCTTTTCACCGTATGGTCCTCCGACTTGTAGGTGTTCAGTCAGGTTTGCTCTGTCCTAGCTGACCCACCGAAACACATACAAGCTATCGCATACACCAAGGCATGATCGGTGTCAACGAGTTGGTCAAAACGATCTACAGTCGCGTACGTTGCCGAGCCACATGCAACTTATGGCTATGTGACTAATTTGTGACCAGCGCTAGGTTGATGATGGAGAACACTAGATGACATAGTAGTGTCCAGGATGATGAAATCTCATACTAGAGAGCATATAGCCTGAACAGTCCCTCTCCCTTATCAGAGCGAACATCATCATACCCATGTGGTCCACCGACATGACGTTCACACGGCATCAGCCGACCAATACGTGAGTTGAGGTCTCCAACCAGACTATTGATGTCTGTTTTGGGCGCTCTTAGAATCAGCTTATGAAGGTGCAGATAGAACTGGTCCTTGACTGTAGCTGAGCTGCAGGCATGTAGGTGGAAATCAGGAAAGAGCACGCTTGGGAGCTGGTGTGCGGTTGGACTCGTGACGACAGTTGGTAGCCTGTGTTGAGATTATGGAGCCGTGGATTAGTATTTCACTCAGGCAGCTGACATCCATTGTGCAAGGGTCTCCATCGGGCGTGCAAGCTTGCTGTCCGAGCTGCATCCTGTCCATGTCTGACCATGAATATGGCTATGCTCCGGACACAGCAGGGGATAATTAACAGCGCCATATCCGTTGCATCGAGTGAGGTGGATAGGGGATGGAGATGCTGCTGCTCAAGCACTCCCGTCTTCTCATTCCTCCTCTTACGGCTTTTCACCATTATCATTCCGTTCCAACTTCACTAGCATCATCTCCTTTTTAAACCTCAAATTTATAGTTACACACCCATATTCCTATGGTAGTCGCTTGTCTTCTAGTTTCAACCAACACACATTTTTGGAGTGTCACACCGATACACTAGATCAGTCCATGTTCAACCAAACAGATAACGTAAGTTCGTCCGCTTCCATTTGGCACCTTCGATCCTCACTGAGACTGGCATGTCACGACGTTCACACGTTGACGAAAACAAGTCAGTACGCAGTTCTTGAGAACTTTATTGTCCACAATCTGCCGCTTATCCAAAACCCGCCTACAAGAATCGAGCTCAGTGTTAACTTAAGGATCCTCCTCAAGTGACAATGATGGAATTTCATCTTTGCATCCACATGAAAGCTTTAAATGCTGTTAGTCCTGAGCCACCGGGTTGAAACTGCTCTGATACCAATCGGTAGCTGGATGTGTGCCACCCGACTGGCTGGCTGATCTTAAGCTTCGAAGTCGCGTGGGGCAAATATGTGTCTGTTTGTCATTGCTACCAACACAGAGTGGATGAAAGATGACTTCTGGCATCAGCTTAGCGAGCTCCTTCGTTACAGGAGCAGGTGCACCGTAATGCTGGCTGGTGATCCGAAAGTTGAGCTTCACCTGGACGACCAACAAGGTGTAGGCTTCCGTACTGATAACGGTGAGCAGTTTCTCCACCCGTGTAAAGCTGCTCGTCTAGTTCTCGTGAGCACTAAATCCTGGCATAGTACCAGCAGAAGAGTGAAATGGCACCCACTAGCGTCAGACCAATTAGGAATGCAAATCGATCACATTGCGATCAGTTACCGCTGAAGAGGTTAGGTAAAAAAATGTCACTCAATTTGGATCGCGAGCGTGGACTCTGACCACGCACCTGTAAGTGACAATTTCAGAGTTCGCTTCGGTGGACGCTTGAAACGACGCAATGAGCGCATAG